AATAGTGTATGAACTTCTTTTGTTGAACAATTCAGTTACAAGGGGACTGACCTTCTTCCCCCTTCTCATCGATGGAAATAGAAAGGCTGATGAAGTAATTAGCTTTAATAGACCATTTGATACGTATATTCAGCTTCCAACTTCAAATTGCGTTGCATCTGAACTACGAGAGGGCTATTAGGGCTTAGGGAGACCCGCTTTCCCACTCTTTCAAACAAGTTTTGTACCGGCTGAGTGAGCCCGCAGTGTTGAATGGCATTGTGCCCAGGGCGGGACTCAACCTCATGCAGCGCGGCCAATATGTGGTGGCAGTGATGACTTCTCTAGCTGTATTGGTTATTCAATTTTGATCACTGAACAACCAAATTTGTGATCTCGGGCATCTCCACCTTCGAATCTGTCCCGATAGGGTATATGATGCAAAAAAATCGCTTACGTCATCCCCGGAGAAGAATTCTGTGGGAGAGCAAAATCGTGGGTAAAATTATTTTAGGAGTCATCCTAATTTATGTTTATTTTATATTTATTTTATTTATTTAATTTTTTTTATTTTTCGTAACATTACAGTAGAACTTGAACCTTTTTTGGTTCTCAGTGTGCTATATTTGCAGGAGTTATCGTCGCGATTCGAGAGTGTCAGTGCCGATATTAAAAGTCCAGGATTTCGATTCGAAGAGCGGGTGGGTCCAGTTTGTTGTGTTTACTAGCGTTTCTGTTTGTACAAGTTTTCCTATTCGCTTATATGGAAGGATTTCTTTCCTTATATTTCTCGTGATTCTCGAATGTTTTCAAAAGAACTCTCTCAACTCTGTAGGCTAACGGGAAATGAAAGGAATTGGTCCAGGGCTTTGTACATATCCCTTCGAGCCAAGATATAGGATTTCATAATCAATCATGGGAAGAAATATGAGCTCCGAAGAAGTGGAGAAAAACAGTGGAAAGTTCTATGAAGCTTGATATTTTGTTCGTCTCACACTAAAATTGAACTCTTCGAAGTTGTTCACAACGGGATTTCAGCTCCTAGCCTTTCCTCAATTCTAAAAATATAATTTTGCATGCCATTAATCAGCTATTCATCGTACAGGATTAAACAGTGTGATACCTTGAAAGTCGAACTATCAACTATGAGCAAGTCACCAACTATTGAGGAAGAATTGGTTCCAAGGGAGCGGATTTGTTAAAGGAGGATTTCCACGATAAGAACGAAGGTCAAGGAGGGGGAAAGTAGCTGGGAGAGAAGCGGACCTCCTGCGTATGCGGACCTCGGCGATCTAGGATGGCTCACTCTTGGCGCAGTTAGCACGGTACGCCCACTGGTATAGCAGAGAGGGCGTTAGCGTTGAAGTGGACGTGTTGAAAGTCGCTGTAAAGGGTTGAGGTGTAGTGGACGATACTAAATCCGCCTATCTTCCACGTAGCTTTCAATGTCTTTCGAACGCAAAAATCGGACGGAGGAACCAAAAGGGTTCGTCAAGATTGGCTCCAAAAGC